AACTAGTGGCCTGCCAGTTGTTTGATAACCTTAGGACTTTGCCATTGTATTTGTCGATCTTGGGTTTGTCAGCCTTAAAAGCCAATAGCTGTGTATTAAGAGAAGTGAGCTGGGAGCAAAAGGCAGAACTGAAAGCCAAGTTCAAGGGGACTTCATCCAGCCTCTACAGCTGGCACTTTGAACTCTAACTTCTAGCCTCCTAAACTGTAATTGTAAGAGAATAAATTTCTGTTTGTTCAAGCCATCTGCACCTGTAGTATTACTGTTAGAGCAAAACTAGAGAGTGAAAACACCTAGTAATGGGATTCCTGAATTAAATGGCAAATCCTTTTAAAGGAATCACCATACCAATTTCCACAGTGGTTGTATCATTTTACAGTCCCATAAGCAGTATATGAGAATCCTAATCTCTCCACATGCTCACTAGCATTTTTTATTTTCTGTTTTGTTGAACTTTGCTATTAGTGCTGGAGTAAGATAGTATGTTGTTGCTTTGATTTTCATCTCTCATTACAATGGCTCTGGTATTTAGTGCCTAAGACACTTGATTGCTAACCAGAAGTCTGGCGGTTCAAACCCACCAGTCACTCCTCAGAAGGAAGGTTGGGCAATCTACTTCCATAGTGTTACCTCCTCAGAAACCCAAGGAGAGGTAGCTGTGGGTCAGGTCCGACTCGACGACATGTAACAACAACAACTATAATCACAAACATTTCTTCATGTGTTTGTTGGATTCCTGAATATCTTCTCTAGTGAAGTGTCTGTTAATGTCTTCTGCCCATTTAAAAATTATATATCTTATCTATTTTTGTTGTTGAGGTAGTGAAGTTTTCTATAAATTGTAGAGATTAGTCCCTTGTTCAATATAAACCAAACAAATATATTTCCCCAATCTGTAGGCTCTCTTTTTTTTTTTAAACTCTTTTGAAGAAGTCTTTTGATGCACATAAAAATTTAATTTTTAGAATGTCTTAATCATCTAGTTCATCATCTGCTATTCATGCATTTTGGGTGGAAGTCCTAGCCAGATAATAAATCGGGAAGGGGGAACAAAAGCCATCTAAATTGGAAAGTAAGAAGTAAAACTATCTCTATTTGCAGATGATATGATCCTATATATAGAAAACCCAAGAGACACAGCAAGAAAGCTATTGGAACTAATTGAGAGATTTAGCATAGTGGCAGGACACAAGATCAACACACAAAAATCAGTTGGATTTCTCCACTGCAGCAAAGAGATTGCTGAAAAGAAAATAAGGAAATCAATACCATTTACAATAGCTACTAAAAGGAAAAAATACTTGGGAATAAATCTTACCAGGGCCACAAAAGGCTATACAAAGAAAACTACAAATACACCACTTCAAGAAACTGTAAGAGATCTACATAAATGGAAGAACATA